TTATGTAGCGAGGAAGTCGTACGTAGATCGATAATTACGTATTTTACGATGTCGAACTCCTCTAAATAACATCGGTCCATTCAGACATTCCCGAAATAACCTAACAACTGACCTAAATTTTTAATTTCTTACGTAGGAAAGTTATTCCTAGATGATTTTCAGGTGAAAAAAAAATGTGGTCAATTGATAACTTTCACGTCATTTGGGACTAACCTCGTCGTGTTTTTCCCCATTAATCATGACAATATTAATCAATTTTTATATATTAAACACATTAACCAATAAAATAATTCTTTACTAAGAATAGTGGAATTAATTTTATACATAAATAATGTCGGTGTTTTTAAAAATCGACCATAAAATCCTCCAATTTTGTTTTAGTTTTTTGCCAGTATCTTGATGCGAAAGAAAAGAAAATGTGATTCGTTCATCTAACAAATAATGATAATCACGATTTAATTACAGCAATTATATAATGAATTAATTTTTAAATAATTGCAAAAGATTTCATAACATAACCTAATTGATTATAATTTGACTTTCATTTTTACATTTGGCACTATTAAATATTTCTTCGCGTGTAATAAGTCGACTGTCCACTTCCTAAAACATTAGTTAATAGTTAACTGACAAGAATGAAACAATTGAATACAGCAAATTATTCATGACGTTCCCTAAATACATATGTAAGTACGTTAAATAAACATATTCGAAGAAAAATAATTGCAGACATCTCGTAAAAAAATTGAAATTACATATTTAATTTTTCTAAATGAAACGTCGCTCTTTCATTTTATAAAAATTTAAATAATTGATTATAATTTATTTATTTTACATCAATAATTTGAATTATTTTCGACCCTTCTTTAACTCGAATTTACTTTTGTTTTATTTAATAATTAAAAATATTTTTTTCGAGTTTTTGTTATAGAAACAATTATATTTATATAAAAATGAGTTATGTTTTATATAACACATATCAATTATATAAATATTATTCTGTAAATATATAATCATTTTATCTATCAACAGCGCTGTATTCAGTTTAAAATAAGGATAATTTCTAAAAATATTGTAATAAATTTATCAAAATTTGATACAATTTAAAATATTTAGATGATATATAATAATTTTTTCATTAATATTATTTAATTAATTATATTCTTGGGTCGATGAACCGTTGTTTATATCGTATCGATATTAATTCACGTCCCATCACACAGATTAATTTTCATCACATAAATTAATATTTAACATCTCCATTAATATATTCTAAAAGTGAATATTTCTCGAGGGCATCGATATCGGTTTAAAAATAACTCAAAATGGCCCATAAAATATCGGCGTATACTTTAAAAAGACGATTTTCTTAATCTTTTACACGAGGTGATTGTCGTTTTAATCATGGAAGAAATATTTATAAAACGTAAATCTTAGGATAAATTTGAGAAAAATAAAATGAAAAATCGGCTTTATAAAAGGGGAAACGACGCATATTCATTGGCATTGTTTAGCTCTCAAGGACACATCATTGAATACAAATAAAATGCAAAGAAGGTCAACTGTTTAGAGAAGGTTATTTAAGTTTATTCTTAAAAGAATTTATATAGAGCGACGTCATTGTATTTAGTAAACGCGTAACGAAAGCGGCTGTATTATTAACTTTACTAGGTTAAATTTCGTTAGAAATTTAAAAAATAATATGTATTTTTGTATATTTGACACTTGAATTCGATACAGATAAGTGAAATTCTTATAAATAAACCTTTAAATATTCGATAGATCGGTTTTGTAGTTTGATTAGATTTTCTTCCTGGAAGCAGACAAATCCTTTTCGTAACATTTTTTTTTTAAAGTTAGAGATTTATGAAGGGCTTGGCTCATCAAATAGCCTACTTCGAATGGCCTCTTGTGGATTTCAAACTCGTAACTTTGAATAACTTGAGCGAATTAGATACTTTGGTAAAGAACTAAACTCTTTGAAAATGAAAAAAAAATTAGGATATTACATATCATATTAAAATATATCATTTGGAATCATGAAAAATAATCTACAGGATATAAATTTTAGAATATAAAGTGTACATATTTTAAATACAGGGTAATAAAGATACTATATTACATTCTCTAGTGCTTTATGCAAGACGTATTATTGCAAATTATGTTGTTTAATCCGATGAGATTCGGAAAATTTATTTCTACATAATGTACAAATAGGAATATTTACGAAATTCTATATAAAATATAAACTTAAATCACTTTACGATGTACAGATAAGAAACTTATATACGCTGTATATATGAGATTATATGAAAAATAAGCAGATAACTTTCATAAACATGCGGTGTAACCTCATAAACCGGTCAAAATATCTAATATAGCCTAGTTGCCGTTCAACTTTCGAGCTAAATATGTTGACAACTTTTTATGCTTAATCCGGATTTGATACTATTAGCCGGTGAAGTGTTGTTTAGTTTCAATATTTGACTGTCTTTTAATGTTAATAATAATATAAAAAAACTTTAAATTATCCGATATTAAATTTTAAAATAAACAGGCAGAAAGATCTGTACTAAAATACTAAAATTCTAAAAACATCTTTTTTCTAGATTGAGAGTTTGAGTGTCCTGTGTTGTAAATAAGGCTATTTTCATTTATCTTGAATCTAGAATGAAGGCCAATTCTACGAGGAATTTCAAATAGTGTAAGAGTTTTAGTGGAGTATTTGTCATAACGGACATAGCTGGAGAGACTATTGAATGAATTGTTTTGATAGCACTCCTTTTGGAATTTTTAGTCTTTTTCGAATTTCTAAAGGAAGAGTCTGAATTATTCCATAAACAAGCTTTCAGAAAAATAGGTACTTTAGCTTCAAGGAGCGAGTCAGTCGTGGATCGAATGACGTCGCACCGGATGGTATCAAAGTGTTACGCTCATCAATTGTAATGAAGATTAAGTGTTTTTTTCTATTCCTTTTGCTTTAGCTCTCGAGCGGATGGCCAAATTTTCCGAGAGGGACACGGCGACGCCGTTACCTCCCAACTCTTCCCTCCTCTCTGGAAACAAAGCAAACAAAGAAAAAACAACCAGTGTCTGTTCTTCGATTCATGGAACTTCCCACAATTCTCTGTCTAATTGGCTCCAACGACACTTGAATGCCCGTGTGAGTGCCCATTGTCTTAGCCATCATCGGACTCCATTGTTTTTCCGGAGACTCTCTATGCAGAATTTCCCAGTGATTTCATAAGTCCGTATTGATTTCAGGTACACTTTGGACGCTAATAGAAGGATTGATGACGTCACTCCCCGGCTCCTACTCCGGCTGACGTCACAGGAAAGAGGATTGTACGTTGTCTTTTTACAATAACTCTTTCCCTTAAGATACGCGAACCTTATCAGTTTTTCTGTTTGTTTCTCTCAGAATTTTAGTTTACTTTAGAAATGCTTTGTTTACGTAAAATAAACATCGGAAACGTTTAGAAAAATTAACACTTGTCCCTGTTTATAAATATAGTTAAATAAAATTACCATAGGATTTTCAAGGAAATCACATTTAAAATTTCCTGAATGTACAAATCCATCGATAGGAATTCATCTGATTAATTCTCAGATATCGATATAAATTTATAGGAAAATAAAATATACTTGTACATAAATAATTTCTTTTCTATAAACAAATATAATGAAATAAGCCCTGTTAGTACAGGAAAAATAATATAAATAAAGAGATAATAGTGTTAAACGCGTTTCTGCATAAGCAATGTTGTGCATATTGGATAAGAGAAATGTAATGTTAAATAAAATGATATCGCGAAGATATAGTATCAAATATTATCTATAGCTTAAGCCATGTCGAGTATGTCATTATCAGCGAAAAAGTTTATTTTCTCTATCCTAGGATCCTAGATTTAACAAAGACATCGATTTCAGAACGGGATACAGAACAATTAGTATCATGTGCATGCCTATTGTCAATTATCAAGGGGACGTCATCGGCGTGGCTCAATGCATCAACAAAACAGAAGACGACAAAGTTTTTAATAAGCAAGACGAAGAGGTAAGCCAAGTTTATGCCGGGAAATAAATATTTACGCTATAAGTTGTAAGAACGTGTTTCACAACCTCTCGAGCGGACTTTGTAGTCATACTGGCAAATTGCGACGCCTGTATATAAGCTTGGCTGGCGTCAAGGCTAAACACAAACGGTGGTCGCATGTTGCTCTAAGCGCACGGCGTTCTCTTTCGCTCGATTTAGTTGCACTGTCGGCAGCGGTGAGTAGACATGGCGAGTTTGCTGCCTCACACTACTTACCCGAGCGCTCCTGCTAAACACGCTCTAGTTCCCAGATTTAAAAGGTTCGGCGGAAGAATGAAAAAGGTAAGGGTTTTTTTTTAATAAAGAAATCTTAAACCTCGTGCATTCATTTTGATTTCGGCACGGTATATCGATTTCTCTGCATCACCCACACGTTCTAAAATTATAAAGTGTTGGGCGGATGGTGAGAACAAACTTTGATCTTGGGCATTGTTTCTTTTATTTTGTGAAATTATTCTAAGAAATGAATTATTATATCAGTTTATAGACTCGTTAAGTTCAGAAAGAACGGATATTTTTGTTAGTTTTCTGTGTTGTATCGCGTGTAAAAAGTTTTCTGTTGTATTAATATCAATACTTAACACGAGGGATACGATGACTAAGGGAAAGGTACTGTACGTTAAATTATTCTTTTAATTTTACTTATAATTAAATTATTAGCTAAAGGAAATTTGTGATGAAAATCTAAAACTTTTTAAAACAAAAATAGCAAGTTGTATGGTTTAAGTAAAATTGTATTCGACATATAGTGGCAAAGTCTAACCTTTAGCTTCGTCCGTTGATGCATAATGCTCATTTCATAATTTAAATTAACTGAAAAAATGAATTTACTAAACTGTTACATTTAATTACAACCGATTTAATTAGTTCAAATTTTAATATTTTTGGCCCGAAAAATGCATTAATCGAATTAAATGTCGTTATTCTGTTAAGAAGCGGCATGAGCGTGTTCTTGAACTTGTGCATAAATATTGCATCATTTTATCTCATCAAACAGAGGGAACGTGAATAATGAGTGAACAGCGACGAGCGATTCAGCAATTTTTGATATGGCGTCAAAGTTGATTAGGAAAGATCTTTATTCTCGCATTAACGGATTTATTGATAAAGATGACAGTGACGTGACCATCGTCGTAAAATGACCTGGCTTTTTCGTTTAGAATTTATGACTAATTCTTCGGCCTTTTATTTTTTTTAAACCTTTACATTGAATCACTTCCGGGTTTCCTGTTTGGAATTTTTGTTTTCCTTTCTAATTATGTCATTAACGATTCTTCTTTTCTTTATCCCTGTCAAGGTATTCAGAAAATATCTGACTTTCTGCGGGATTGGTATCCAAAATGCACAACTTTTCGAAATGTCCGTACAAGAATATAAGAGGAACCAGGTAAGTTAATGCTTTAGCCTAATTAATTAATACTTTAATATAGGATAAACGGTTAATTTGATGTAAAAAAATAAATCAAACAAACAAAAATCGAGAACAAGCGCGCTGCGGAATAAAATTTAAAATTTTGCAATAAATTATTTACTTGTATATTGAAAAATCGTCCATAAACGGAGAGGATTGTGATTTTTTGAATGATGTCANTCTTAAATTTAGAGAAAATTCATATTTTGTGATTTTTCTCTAAGTTCAAGAATTACTGAATACATAAACAACAGTCAAAATATAATGCCAGATTCATTAGGCCATAAGTTGGCTAATTATAGTAATTATATAAAGTAATTTGAATTCTAGATAGATAATTAAGTTGTCATCTTGTATTAAATTTAATAATTAGAATTAAACCTTTAATTAAGTTATAATTTTGGGCTCAGTTTACCATATAAACATAAACAATAGTTTATGAAATTAAAACATTGGATTTTCTTGAATTATATTTTGGCTAATTAATAATTAACACTATCAAGTAATTTGATATAAAGTAGGAAGTTAGGTTATCATCTTGCATTAATTAATAATCAAATAATTTTAGAATTAAATTTAATTCAACATATTAATGATTTGATTAGTAATATGTTTGGACTTTATTATAGTTTACATATTGAGTTCAGTGAATCTTTTCCATTTAGTTTTCCTTAATAAAAGAAAAATAATAAACATATTTTTGCCTTACAAGAGACACTATTATATTAGATGCATGATATTTTTCACATAGATGTTTTGGGGAAAAACTATTCTTTACAGTATAAGATGCATTCAACTTATAGGACACATCCTAATTTTCAGATTAATTTTTGATACAAAAAAAATGTACTTTACAAGATGAAAAATACAGTATATTCCCCAGTAAAAGTTATGTCAATTAGAAATTCTTACATACAAAAATATAGTAAAAATAAATGCACTTTATTATTATTAGGTCTAAAATAATCCCTCGAAGACAAAGTGAATTATACGAATATATAATAATATTTGCTGTATCTGCTTTAATACTAATTAGAATTTTATTTGTAAATCATTACCTGTTAATTATTTCTTCAAAGCAATAAATAAACATAAGGAATTACATTTTTTTACTAATATTAATATATAAAATATTGCAATAATTTCAATATCTAATACTATTTATTTTAGCTTACAGAATATACTTTTTCATCTAAATTGCAGATAATAAATATTTTTGTATGCAAGATGTTATGGCATTTTTCAATAATGTCCATTTTTATATTCAAGTACTATGCAATATTAAAAATCATGCAAAAACTTTTTATTTTAATAGGTTTAAGGAATCATAAGGAACATAAATCAATTTTAATTCTTCATTGGGTATTTACATAATTTTGCCTATATCCAAAATTTAAGCTGATTATATANTTAATTCAACATGGATCCAAAACTGGATTCATTTATCAGGGTCAAACTTATGATCATAGAATTTTGTTTCTTGATTTAGACATACGATCTATGTATTAAGATTTATATTTTTTATATTATTCGCTTATGTAAAGATTAAATATATTTATGAACAAACTGAATAATTAATTTAACATTTAAAATGTATCATAATTGTATTACTCTTACATTATATAACATATGATCTCAACTAAATTAACGCATTAAATTCATTCATTTGATCAATAATGAAAAGGCTTAACTTTTTTAAATAAACGAGAAAATGGTTGTCGCTGATTTTTACAAATTCAACTATTTTGCGTTTGATTATATTGAAAATTCAGGAAAGAATGTCATTTGTCTAGTAATAATAAATATATTCTAAATCAGTGGTCCATATTAATTTTTGATACGGGAAAAGTTATTAATTTGTTCAATTTTTCTATTTAACTTGTTCCAAAGAAATTATTGTATATTAATAGATATTTCTTTTGATAACAGACATTTAATTGGCTGGGTACCGATGAAGAATTGGATGAAATGAAAAACATCTTACGGCTATCCTCTTTCAAAGAAGTAAGTGTTAATGTACTCCGTGAGAAAGGATTATATCGATTTAAACTAAAATACTCCGATTGTGCGTCTAATAAATAATAATAGTAATAAGGTACTCTAATAATTCTAAGTATAAATGTTTAAGAATTTAATTCAGAGAAATTGGTAATTAGATTCCGAAGAACAAAGCTGTCTTATTAGCTGGACATAGGTTTGGTCAGGAGCACAAAGAACAACATTATGAAACCGATGGAAACAAATCATATGCCAATTATACCGATCATATTTGTTTACAATTTTTCAATATTAGGCATACTATATAGTTAATTTATATTGGACAACCTTGAGTTAGATTCCTGATATAGTTACTTTCCGGGCAAAGTTATTTGTTTATTCACATCATCCCATTTAAAGGTTGAAAAGATTTAATTTTATTATGTTTGAATAGTTCAAGAGTCACTTCAAATGAACTTCATAAACACTAGTTCAATAGCTTAACTGTTTGTAATTCAATAAGGATAACCTGCTTAAGCATATTGTTTATTATTAACATTTTTAAGTAATTGATTTATAAATTGTTCAATTTTTTTTTTTAAACTATCGTTAATAAATATTTTCTTTTCTTTTTTCAGTTTGGAGTTGAAAATATTAAAGTTTCTGGTCGTGTTTTATCTATACCAATATTTAATAGTGAAAATAAAGTCATAGGAGTTGCCCAATTAGTCAATAAGTTGAATGGCGAACACTTTACGGAAATTGATATCAGCACATTTGAGGTACTTGTTACTATAATTCTTGAAATTTAAACTTAGTATCCACATAATTACTAAGTCAATATACTTTTAATTTTCATAATTAACTGATTTAAACTTAATTTTTTATTTTTAGGCATTTTCTATATTCTGCGGATTAGGTATACACAACACACAAATGTATGAAAATGCCATAAAATTGATGGCAAAACAAAGAGTTGCGTTAGAAGTTCTTTCCTATCACGCATCGTCGTCGGTTGAAGAAATGAATAAATTAATGGTACATTAATTCTTCCTTACAATAATATAATTTAAAATATTAGTATGAAATTAATATTGTTATATTTATTTATAGCATTTGCCAATTCCTTCAGCCAATAAATTCAATTTGTACAGTTTTGAATTCAGTGATTTTGAATTAGCAGATGAGGATACTTGTAAAGCATCTTTAAGAATGTTTATGGATTTGGATCTCATTAGAAAATTTCACATTCCATATCAGGTACATAGGAAAAAATAATTATTATATAGTCTATCATCAATAATTTATCTTCACTAATCTATAAAAATGTATTATTATAAACTGTGAAAATAATATTTAAAAATGTAATTACAGATATTATGTCGTTGGACGTTAAGCGTCAAAAAAAATTATCGTAATGTAACGTATCATAATTGGAGACATGCTCTAAATGTCGCACAAACTATGTTTGCCATGTTAACAGTAAGTTTGATTTTTCCTCTAAAGAAAAACATTTATAACTATAGTAATATTAATCACAGAAGAATATTCTTTTTTCTTTAATATTTTGAGGATTTAAACATATTTAAATCTAACACAAAAGAATAAAAGCTCTTTTTTACTTTTTCAGATAGGAAATATGAAACAGATGATGTCAGATTTAGAAATGCTGGCACTTTTAGTAGCCTGTCTATGTCATGATCTTGATCATCGGGGCACTAATAATTCTTTTCAGACAAAGTAAGATATTATCATCATCATTTCTGATTTACTTTTTGATAGAATTATATAATAATGAAATAAACTAAAAAACATTGTATTATTTCAGAATTGAATCTCCTTTAGCAACTTTGTATACTACCTCAACTATGGAACACCATCATTTTGATCAATGTATTATGATATTAAACAGTGAAGGAAACAACATTTTTCAATCCTTCTCTACAGAAGATTACAAAACTGTGATATCTTATATAGAATCTGCAATTCTTGCTACAGATCTTGCTCTTTATTTCAAGTATGTTTATAAAATATTTGATACCTTATTACAAAATAATAGACTTTTGTTTTTAATTTTTATGTTAATGACTCAAAGTATTAATATTACATTTTCCTTAAGATGAAATTAGGATTATAAAATAACTTATTTTTAAATTTATATTTATAGAAAGAAAGATACATTTGGAAAATTAGTTGAAACTGGTACAACAAATTGGTTAGAACCTGCTAATAAAGATCTCCTCAGGTTAGAAATCTTTCAAAAATGTTTAACTTCTAATAATATATATATTGATAAATGAATTATAAATTGACTCATTTAACAGAGGTATGATGATGACTGCATGTGATATATCTGCTATTTGTAAACCATGGGAAATTCAAAGAAAAGTAGCAGAACTGGTAGCCAGTGAATTTTTTGAACAAGGAGATTTAGAAAAAGAAAGATTAAAGGAAAAACCAATTGTAAGTTTTAATCTAATAAATATAATTAGTTTCTCAGATGAAAAATAAAATTAGAAGAATTGTTAAATATACATATCCATATATCTTATCAGGCAATGATGGATAGGGAAAAAAAAGATGAATTGCCTAAGATGCAAGTTGGATTCATTAATTGTATATGTCTCCCAGTATACAAGGTAATTATTAAATTTATTAAACAAATAAATTCATATTTTCCAGCATTCAACTAAATAAAAACTTTGATACTTTAGGCTTTAACAGTTATTCAACCAGCACTTCAACCATTGTTGGATGGATGTGAAAGAAATAAAAAACATTGGGAAATGTTAGCAGATGAATATGAAAAGCATTTGAGAGAACCTACACTTCATAGTTGTAGACATGGTAGGTATTTTATCTCAATTATAATTTACTATAAACAAATAAAATAATATCTGAACATTAAATAAGATTTTAGAAATTTTAATTTGAAAATAAAATGAATAATACTCTTTTAATATATTTAGCAATGTAAATTTTAATCAANCTTATAATTAAATTATTAGCTAAAGGAAATTTGTGATGAAAATCTAAAACTTTTTAAAACAAAAATAGCAAGTTGTATGGTTTAAGTAAAATTGTATTCGACATATAGTGGCAAAGTCTAACCTTTAGCTTCGTCCGTTGATGCATAATGCTCATTTCATAATTTAAATTAACTGAAAAAATGAATTTACTAAACTGTTACATTTAATTACAACCGATTTAATTAGTTCAAATTTTAATATTTTTGGCCCGAAAAATGCATTAATCGAATTAAATGTCGTTATTCTGTTAAGAAGCGGCATGAGCGTGTTCTTGAACTTGTGCATAAATATTGCATCATTTTATCTCATCAAACAGAGGGAACGTGAATAATGAGTGAACAGCGACGAGCGATTCAGCAATTTTTGATATGGCGTCAAAGTTGATTAGGAAAGATCTTTATTCTCGCATTAACGGATTTATTGATAAAGATGACAGTGACGTGACCATCGTCGTAAAATGACCTGGCTTTTTCGTTTAGAATTTATGACTAATTCTTCGGCCTTTTATTTTTTTTAAACCTTTACATTGAATCACTTCCGGGTTTCCTGTTTGGAATTTTTGTTTTCCTTTCTAATTATGTCATTAACGATTCTTCTTTTCTTTATCCCTGTCAAGGTATTCAGAAAATATCTGACTTTCTGCGGGATTGGTATCCAAAATGCACAACTTTTCGAAATGTCCGTACAAGAATATAAGAGGAACCAGGTAAGTTAATGCTTTAGCCTAATTAATTAATACTTTAATATAGGATAAACGGTTAATTTGATGTAAAAAAATAAATCAAACAAACAAAAATCGAGAACAAGCGCGCTGCGGAATAAAATTTAAAATTTTGCAATAAATTATTTACTTGTATATTGAAAAATCGTCCATAAACGGAGAGGATTGTGATTTTTTGAATGATGTCATTTCCAGCACGTGCTGCATTATCTTTTTCTAAATAGCTGACGTCATTAATGACTGTAGTCCCATATGTTCTTCCTGCCTAATTCGTCATTCGTTAAATTCTTAAGTTAATTGATGGCATCGAGCATCGCTACAACAATTAGAGTTATTTCTTATAAAAACCGTTCGATTTTTAACGATTTCGATAGGGTAATAATTAACATAAATAAGTCTAAATGTGTCATTCTTGTTTCGCAAACGAAAAAAATAACGCTCGTAAAACATTTTGCAAAACTTTATTACGTTTCTATATAATTTAAGTAGGTCTCATTCTTTATCAAAATGCATTTTTTCTTTCTTTTTTCGCTGTTTTTTAAGTTGAAGAAAACTCGTAACATAAAATTAAAATTAAACTTTTGCATAATTGATTAATCATCCTTTTATTAATGGAAAATTCTTTAACTTTTTTATAAATTTATTATTTTTAAATGGCTAAATCATTTACGAAATCGTCTAATTCTTATCATTAAATTTTTAATGTTTTTGTTGTTTTCATATTATAATTTAAGATATACAATATGATGCATAAATATAACGTCATTATATAGTTATGTAAACAAAAATATATATATTATTCATAAATATCATTGTTGAAAATGTTCTTAATTATATGTAAATTGATATTTTCGAAGAAAAAAAAATGCAAATATTTTAAGTGATTCAGCAAGAAATTTTATTAATAAATATATTAAACTTGCTTAATAATGAGAGAAATAAACAAAAAATTTTAGTCTAAACAAAGAGCGAGAAGAATAGAAAAATATTTCTAAAAATAGCAAATCTGTTCATATTCTTTGTGCAATTTTATTATTCATTCTGGGTCTTTGCTCGTCTTTTGTTAGATTTTTTTAATTGTGCCTTTTAACGATTATAATCTGACGAATGTAAACTGTATATGCAATAAGAATATTTTAGATAATTGTTATCATTTGGAAAGAAGAAAGGTTTATGTAGCGAGGATAAAATATTAACCCCTTCTGCACTTGTATTCAGTGTTCGTTATAAAGAGCGTTACGAGTTAAAGATGTTGATACGTGATGCTATTTATCTTGGATAGAAAGCGTTATCCTCCAATTACTCGGAAGAATTTTCTTTCTAGTAGTAGTATAGTTGTGAAGTGGCTCCACCCCACCCGTATACGGTAGCAGACCATCATCTACGAACAGGACCCTCCATTCACTCACTCATCGCAACCGTTTCCGTCCCTACTTATAGCTATTTGGAGGACGCAGTTCCGGAACTGTGGACATAAGCACCTACTTACGCACATACCGCGTGTCGGGGCGCCATCACGTTCTAAAGTCCGTTACTTCGGTGGTTCTCGATCACACCGTAACAGAGATGGAACCGAATCAGTCATGAGATTTGAGCAGGTAGGATTAGAATATATTTATGATTTATATCTCTGTATATAAATTCAAATTTTCATCTCTGAACGATTTGCAATTTCGTACTTTCATAACAATTTAAATCTCTGCACAATGGATAAAGTCTTTGTGTATAAGGTTCACCCGCGCGAAAGGCGTATGCCAATCTCCTATGCCACAGTTTTTAATAGCTTTACTCCATTGGTGTTTGTGCAAAAAAAAAATTAGCGTGGATATAATTAAGCTTGTTTTCTTTCTTTTTTTTTCAATTCCTCGATTGTTGCGATGCGCTCTCAAACACCATTATTCAACTTTTATCTAGCCCATGGGGGTAACTGTAGCTAGCATTTCAATGAAGCGCAAATGGCTCCAGTCCGTGCGGCGCTAAGAAAATTAATAAAAATGACCGTTTGTTGTGGTAGACGACATTTGGGCGACTCGATAAACGCAATACGACACGTCCGAAATGAATACTGTCAAACGAAACGATGGATCTCTCCTAGCAAACCGGAGCAACAAGAGCAACTTCTTTTTCTTCCAGTATTAAATGAACCATTCGCTTTTTTTTCTGATTTATAAATAGCTGTAGAGAATAAAGATGAGCCATTCATCATCCTTATTAATTTTAGTTACAACTTTGATCGCCACGTTAATTTCCATAATTGAAACGCTTCTTTGTTTATAGTAACCGGCTTTAACTCGATCTAGTCGACTGACTGTTGCAATTTTTTTTCTTTCGGGTTCAAAAACCATATCGCTATGTATCATGGCCAGTTCTGTTTATGTTTCCTTTAAGCACAATACACGATCTCATTTATATATTTCTGTAATTATCTAGTGATGAAATTCTAATCTTTTTTTTAATCTCCGTGTTTCGTTTATCACCGTTAATAAAATAGATTTTATATAATTTAAATTATTTATCGAGTTGAAATAATTTTAATTTCCAAATTATTTGCAATAACTCGTTTATTCGACTTGAATTATTTTAGATAGAAGAATTATGCATTTGAATAAATTCGATTTTGTAACATTCAGAACTTATAAACCTGATGCAATCGCGCTTACAAGTTTGGCGGGGACGAAAGCATAATTTAACAAATTGCTCTGTTTAACTTGCAGCCATTAAATGAATGTGTTCCCACGCCGCTCTCATTGTCTTGCTTTAAAAGATTCTATTGTTCCAGGAGACTTAATAATTGGTGTGGATGAAAAGGGTAGAAAAAACCGTCCATCTATTCTAAAACAAGCTACTAATTCATGCATTCGGCGCCATCCGTGCCGAGTGAGTCGCCACCATTGTCAGATGATCATATCTGGATAGCGGAGATGATTGTTTATTTTGCGTGCTCTGGATGCCTTCTTCCAGCTGATGAAACCTCCATTCTGTAGAAAGACGCGAACAATTTATAATCCACTTCATGTTTCATCGAATATTTTTTTTTTCTTGTAAATCACTTAGCTTGTTTCGATTAGGATTCTCCACGGGAAGCGAGGGTGGAAAAGAACATTTTAAGTGCAGCTTCTGATGGAAAGCTTCCATCGAGTCTTAAAATAAACATCAGAATTCACTTTTCACTGCTACTTTACGATAAGATTCATTGAAACTATTCGGCAGGAGTTTATTGATAAATAATTTATTGCACCATTGACATTTTTTTAAGATGCACTTACGCAAATTAATATGGCTTTTACAAGAAAGTAATTTTAATATCGCTAACAACTAAATTCCGGTTTACAAAAAATATTACTCTTTTATTGATAAAGACTCTCTTACATGTTCAGATAGACTAATACACTTTATACAGAATGTTTAATATAAATATATTTATCTTTTTCAGTTATTATTGAGCCTGGCCCAGTCCATATTCGAAGAGACCTCATCTTTAGATAGACTCATCAATAAAATCATGTCGAAAGCTCAGGGACTTCTGCAATGTGAAAAATGCCGAGTCTACTTAGTGGATACGGAACAAAAAGATGCGGTAATTAATGTTGTTATTGATTTTAAAACACGTTAAATAACATTATGTTGATTTTAAAAAATAAAATAAATATTGCACGTGGTTACTAGAGTAATTGGAACGTTTTCGTATCGTTCGTTATCCCGAAAACAGCCAATTCACTTGTTTACAGATAGTTATCGAATCGCCATTGTGGACATTTGGAGGTTGGGTTACAGTACGTTGTGAACGGCACGTCCGCCTAAATACTACACACAAATTTATGTAAACCCAAACAATACTACGGATTATGTCACAGTACTTGACTGAAAATGCGGTCACTTATGTGAAGTTTACTAACAATGACTTTTTAAAAGACCTTGTTAATGAATCGGGCTTCTCGATTTTGTTTAGAACCAATGACTTTCTTCAATTCACACCACCCTTAAGTGGCCGTACCTTAAGCGTTTACCAATCTAAGACTATCGTAGAATTTATAATTAGTTGGGAGATCTTTTTATCCGAAATTTAAACTATATCGAGTATTTACTCCCCTGAAGTGTGAAGAATTTTAAGTTCTAACTCGTTGCCCGCGTTAAAACTGTGAATATATTATATTACATTTATCAATTTATTCAATATTAAACTAAAATATTCGAATTCTCTTCCTTAGCTTTAAAAAATAGTACTGTATAATCTTTGATTATTTTACACTTGTGTATATGAATGTTAAGCTGTCAAGAGCGTGTTACCTAACTCTTTACACAGCTTAACGGGAAACCAATGTTTATTATGAAAAGATCGTGTCTATCATTCGTCGAGTCGATTCATCATTTAGAGATCTTTCCGATTAAAGTTTTCAAAATGTTATCGACTGATAGCAATTCTAAGAATTAGACAAAACAGGTTTTATTTAATTGAATGGCATCTTAATTCTTTTTCTGGAACACCCATAAAGTTTATCGCTATTATTTTGATCTGCTACAAGTCGAAAATAATACTCCATTGATGCTTATTGACGACAGCTTTCAAATATTAGAGTCGTAATGGCGACAGAAGGGATTTTTCTAATCCCCTTTTCGTTATAGGCGCAGATGCGAAGTGAATTTTTTACATCTTTATGCCCACACTTCGCTGTTACCTACGACTTGAGAGCAATGTTCTCTCGGGCGTGGATAAAACTAACGATAAAGTGCAATATTTACTACCATTTAATGGAAGGATAAACTTGCTATTAATATATTTATGTTTTCTTTTTTTTATAAAATTTCAGTTGACTTATCACAGAGAACAATTAGAAATCGGGAAAATATCTCCAATTTTTAAACCCAGGAAATTTTCTAGGCCAGAGGTATAATATATATAATTTATTTGGCTTTATTTTAATATTTGTAAACTGAATTTTAAATGAATTGTTTCTTCTGCAGGATGTTATTTTCACTACGATATTTGAATTGAGAAGAGACGAAGAAGAGATTCGGCGTCCCAGGTGAGCTAAACAATTCTGTTAATATAATGACCTCACTTACACGACGTTTTATGTAACTAATGTTGGGAAATAAACTCAGTTTTTGAATGAGGTTCTGCAGCCCGAGGTAATTCTCTGGTGGAGACATTCGAGCAGACTGCAGGTCGAGCATCCCTGTTAATGGCAGAGGTCGTACATTGTCCCGAAAGTAGCAGTTTAACGGGCACCTTAGAGGTAGTTAGTGGCGGGGAAAAGGGGGAAGACATGGAAGGGGAAGCAAATTCTCACGATCCGAAGTAATTCGATCGCTATTGTGCATTCTATAAAATCTACTCGAAGTTTTAAAAAGAAAGCATGTCGAACTGTTTGATTTCTGTTTCGAGTCTCCCTTGCCCCGCTGCCTGACGTCACCGGGCGCCACCCAATAAAAAAAACCCTTCTAATGACGCACGCCTTGAAAAAGATTTCTTTAAGTTCCGCACAATTAAAACTTTCTTCTCTGCCTAGTGACGTCGGGTGTCCCCGTTTTTATCCTAATATTTTGCTCGTTAACCGGAAAGTCAAGGCTGTTTATATAGAATACAAGAGAAATAGCAAAACACATATCTGCAAAAATAAATGGAGGTCAAGGGTCGAAAACATATTCGCGCGTAAATCTGAGTATTGAATGAACAACCTTGTTGGGGTAGATGAGCAGAAGTATGCAAGGGTCACCCGCTACAAGTGCTGGTCTACCAACTACAAGATGCCGTGAAGTGGGCTAATCGATGAAAGAGTTGGACAACCTCACTCGGTTTGTCTCGATCGTAACTCGACGATGAGGTTGACCCGACCGCTTAATTAAAGCCCGTAACGCGACACCCTTAAGTCTGTCAGAAGTAAAGTAACGAGAGAGCGCCGACCTGTCCGACGCCGTCTCCTTCATTGTTCATTCCCCCTTTCGTGGGAATGTCCTGACGTACTCCATCACTGGATTTATCTCCGGCTGCTATCCTCGCCCATCTCCGCTTCACCGGATAATAAATAACTATTTTTCCTTCTCCGCCCAATTTATCAATGCAAATCCTCTTCATCCGTAATTAAATTCGATTTTTTATTCTTCTTAACACCCGAATTTGTATTTAGATTCCTTCTAAAACACTATCGAGTGCAATGACTTTAATTCGGAAGGTCATATATTTTTAATTCTTAATATATTACCATTAAATTCTTAATTGAATTTAACTTCTCGTAACCTCTTTCTATATAGTGTCGAATTTATTCGAGCGAATCATTTTCTTTGCTCCACTAAATAATTCTTTGTTTTTCGTAGTATATAAATGAATAATTTTCCTTTTCAGTCTGATGGAATTGGCAGGGCAGGAAATGATTCATGTTCATTTTGCTCGTCACGTCGTTGCGACAGGACAGGTAAGGCGACTTTTTCTATTTATTATTTTTTATAAATGCCATTTTAAAAATCGTGTTATCCTCTTTAACCTTTTCCCTAAATATTTTCTTTCGATTGGGACGAAAGAAACTCGTTCGAATTGCCAGAACTCGACTAACAGGAAAACAGCTGTCGATATTTCAACCATTTTATTTTAATTTCCCCATATATATATATATTTGATTAACTGAAGAAAATTAAAAAAGTACGTGTTTGAAATGGGCTAAAATAATTTTTTTCGTTAATTTAACATAATTTTTTATGAAAATAATTTCATAATTAGTAGCACGAGTGAAGAATAACGCACATTTTTAAAATAATTTGACATGTTTTTCTAAAAGGTGTCAAATATGCGTTAATAACATTGTCAGGTTTATAAATATGTTCTTCCTGTTTTCTTCATAGCGATAAGCAAAACTAATATTTTGTTTACGAACAAATATTCTTTACAATAAGATTCAAAATATTTGATTTCAGATATTTAACAAAATTCTTCCTTTTTAATCATTATGATTCTGCAAAATAACAAAAAAGAAATACGATCGAATTCTTACGATTCATATCGATTGACACGTTTGGTTCGTGACAGGCAATAAATCATTCTTCGAAAATCGAATATTTGCGTGAATACACCTAAAAGGGGAATGTCCTCATTCTTAAATGCAATCGTGTCTCCATCTGGTGAGAATAAGAATTAATATTGCTAATTCCTATAAAATTATTGCCATTGCGTTTTCGTACGAAAAGAATAAAATGAAATTTAAATTTGTTTATAACGTTTTAATGCTTAAACAAATGTCGATGGCTAGTTTTTTTCTAATAAACAGTGTATAAATATGTATATTGCGGCTTAGTACGCAAATCAATGATATACAGTAGTTCATTTCATACAAAACCAAGTATACTATTGATTTGCTTACTTAGCCGTTATGTCACTTGCAAGCATCCATATTTCAAATAAATTAAATTAACTTTACATCTTCACGTCGATACAAAACAAGCAATATTTTTTCATATAATCTTTACAAATCAGAATGTCAAATTCGCCATTATTGAGAAATGTCAGGAAAAATCCTTTAGTCCTAGATTAATCAAAGGAATAAAGCGAAATTAATTTGATTTTAAGTATTGTTTGATAATACCAATAATAATTTAGACAATACAAAAACTGAATATTACATTGCTGATAATTTGTACAGTAAAGCCTAAAATAAATATGCAATATTACGTAATAACTAAGGCCGAAAGGCAAAGTAGGCCTAATGTAGGCCTATCTGTAGGAAGTGAAATTTTAAGGAGATATACTGTGTATATAGAAAATTCATAATCTTATATTCTATTTTGCTATCTTTCCATTTTATTGTGATTTCCAAAAGCGATAAAATAATTTAGATTCCTTAAAAATATTTTTAGAAATTTTAAGTAAGCCAGAAAGAAATGCATTTTAAATATATAAATTGATTATGTAACAAATATTTCCATTAATATTTAATTAATTCAAAAATCCTGTGACCTAGTCATTGGTACAATACAGAGGAAAGGCTTTTAAATGCACCCTTGGCCTTCTATTCGATAACGGTTACGAAAAAGCAAATATTAAAAAAAGTTTCACAAATGTAAATCTGAATTTTGCAATTAAGGATATATCGTAATGAAGTTAACGGATAAGATCAAAATCTTTGGCATTACGTTGAACGCATAATTTCAGGAAACGTAACTGATTTGGCTGGCCTTCAATGAAGATTAAAGATAATAAGTGTAAATAATGGTGCAACAATTATAAAAAATATATGGATACATGAATATGGTACTAACTGATTTATTTCCATGAAATTAATTTAGGTAACTTTATATATATATATATATATATATATATATGAAGTTATTCTGATCAATCATAGGACTATATGAGGGAGGAATATATCGTGATAGCGTATCAAGTTAATTCAACATGGATCCAAAACTGGATTCATTTATCAGGGTCAAACTTATGATCATAGAATTTTGTTTCTTGATTTAGACATACGATCTATGTATTAAGATTTATATTTTTTATATTATTCGCTTATGTAAAGATTAAATATATTTATGAACAAACTGAATAATTAATTTAACATTTAAAATGTATCATAATTGTATTACTCTTACATTATATAACATATGATCTCAACTAAATTAACGCATTAAATTCATTCATTTGATCAATAATGAAAAGGCTTAACTTTTTTAAATAAACGAGAAAATGGTTGTCGCTGATTTTTACAAATTCAACTATTTTGCGTTTGATTATATTGAAAATTCAGGAAAGAATGTCATTTGTCTAGTAATAATAAATATATTCTAAATCAGTGGTCCATATTAATTTTTGATACGGGAAAAGTTATTAATTTGTTCAATTTTTCTATTTAACTTGTTCCAAAGAAATTATTGTATATTAATAGATATTTCTTTTTGATAACAGACATTTAATTGGCTGGGTACCGATGAAGAATTGGATGAAATGAAAAACATCTTACGGCTATCCTCTTTCAAAGAAGTAAGTGTTAATGTACTCCGTGAGAAAGGATTATATCGATTTAAACTAAAATACTCCGATTGTGCGTCTAATAAATAATAATAGTAATAAGGTACTCTAATAATTCTAAGTATAAATGTTTAAGAATTTAATTCAGAGAAATTGGTAATTAGATTCCGAAGAACAAAGCTGTCTTATTAGCTGGACATAGGTTTGGTCAGGAGCACAAAGAACAACATTATGAAACCGATGGAAACAAATCATATGCCAATTATACCGATCATATTTGTTTACAATTTTTCAATATTAGGCATACTATATAGTTAATTTATATTGGACAACCTTGAGTTAGATTCCTGATATAGTTACTTTCCGGGCAAAGTTATTTGTTTATTCACATCATCCCATTTAAAGGTTGAAAAGATTTAATTTTATTATGTTTGAATAGTTCAAGAGTCACTTCAAATGAACTTCATAAACACTAGTTCAATAGCTTAACTGTTTGTAATTCAATAAGGATAACCTGCTTAAGCATATTGTTTATTATTAACATTTTTAAGTAATTGATTTATAAATTGTTCAATTTTTCTTTTTTTTTTTTTAAACTAACGTTAATAAATATTTTCTTTTCTTTTTTCAGTTTGGAGTTGAAAATATTAAAGTTTCTGGTCGTGTTTTATCTATACCAATATTTAATAGTGAAAATAAAGTCATAGGAGTTGCCCAATTAGTCAATAAGTTGAATGGCGAACACTTTACGGAAATTGATATCAGCACATTTGAGGTACTTGTTACTATAATTCTTGAAATTTAAACTTAGTATCCACATAATTACTAAGTCAATATACTTTTAATTTTCATAATTAACTGATTTAAACTTAATTTTTTATTTTTAGGCATTTTCTATATTCTGCGGATTAGGTATACACAACACACAAATGTATGAAAATGCCATAAAATTGATGGCAAAACAAAGAGTTGCGTTAGAAGTTCTTTCCTATCACGCATCGTCGTCGGTTGAAGAAATGAATAAATTAATGGTACATTAATTCTTCCTTACAATAATATAATTTAAAATATTAGTATGAAATTAATATTGTTATATTTATTTATAGCATTTGCCAATTCCTTCAGCCAATAAATTCAATTTGTACAGTTTTGAATTCAGTGATTTTGAATTAGCAGATGAGGATACTTGTAAAGCATCTTTAAGAATGTTTATGGATTTGGATCTCATTAGAAAATTTCACATTCCATATCAGGTACATAGGAAAAAATAATTATTATATAGTCTATCATCAATAATTTATCTTCACTAATCTATAAAAATGTATTATTATAAACTGTGAAAATAATATTTAAAAATGTAATTACAGATATTATGTCGTTGGACGTTAAGCGTCAAAAAAAATTATCGTAATGTAACGTATCATAATTGGAGACATGCTCTAAATGTCGCACAAACTATGTTTGCCATGTTAACAGTAAGTTTGATTTTTCCTCTAAAGAAAAACATTTATAACTATAGTAATATTAATCACAGAAGAATATTCTTTTTTCTTTAATATTTTGAGGATTTAAACATATTTAAATCTAACACAAAAGAATAAAAGCTCTTTTTTACTTTTTCAGATAGGAAATATGAAACAGATGATGTCAGATTTAGAAATGCTGGCACTTTTAGTAGCCTGTCTATGTCATGATCTTGATCATCGGGGCACTAATAATTCTTTTCAGACAAAGTAAGATATTATCATCATCATTTCTGATTTACTTTTTGATAGAATTATATAATAATGAAATAAACTAAAAAACATTGTATTATTTCAGAATTGAATCTCCTTTAGCAACTTTGTATACTACCTCAACTATGGAACACCATCATTTTGATCAATGTATTATGATATTAAACAGTGAAGGAAACAACATTTTTCAATCCTTCTCTACAGAAGATTACAAAACTGTGATATCTTATATAGAATCTGCAATTCTTGCTACAGATCTTGCTCTTTATTTCAAGTATGTTTATAAAATATTTGATACCTTATTACAAAATAATAGACTTTTGTTTTTAATTTTTATGTTAATGACTCAAAGTATTAATATTACATTTTCCTTAAGATGAAATTAGGATTATAAAATAACTTATTTTTAAATTTATATTTATAGAAAGAAAGATACATTTGGAAAATTAGTTGAAACTGGTACAACAAATTGGTTAGAACCTGCTAATAAAGATCTCCTCAGGTTAGAAATCTTTCAAAAATGTTTAACTTCTAATAATATATATATTGATAAATGAATTATAAATTGACTCATTTAACAGAGGTATGATGATGACTGCATGTGATATATCTGCTATTTGTAAACCATGGGAAATTCAAAGAAAAGTAGCAGAACTGGTAGCCAGTGAATTTTTTGAACAAGGAGATTTAGAAAAAGAAAGATTAAAGGAAAAACCAATTGTAAGTTTTAATCTAATAAATATAATTAGTTTCTCAGATGAAAAATAAAATTAGAAGAATTGTTAAATATACATATCCATATATCTTATCAGGCAATGATGGATAGGGAAAAAAAAGATGAATTGCCTAAGATGCAAGTTGGATTCATTAATTGTATATGTCTCCCAGTATACAAGGTAATTATTAAATTTATTAAACAAATAAATTCATATTTTCCAGCATTCAACTAAATAAAAACTTTGATACTTTAGGCTTTAACAGTTATTCAACCAGCACTTCAACCATTGTTGGATGGATGTGAAAGAAATAAAAAACATTGGGAAATGTTAGCAGATGAATATGAAAAGCATTTGAGAGAACCTACACTTCATAGTTGTAGACATGGTAGGTATTTTATCTCAATTATAATTTACTATAAACAAATAAAATAATATCTGAACATTAAATAAGATTTTAGAAATTTTAATTTGAAAATAAAATGAATAATACTCTTTTAATATATTTAGCAATGTAAATTTTAATCAAGATATCTACATATATTAAATATGATTATATGGCATACATTTAATGCACATTAAGTATAAATTCAATAGAATTTAAAAACAGCATCATAGACAAATTGTTATTATTGTCATTTAAAAATTTAGGAATAGCAAAAGCAAATATAAATAAATTTCACTTACCGAAATCTTTATTTTTTAAAGTTTTTTTCCTTTCAAAATTATATATATTAAAATATTTTAGATATAAAAATACGTATGGCTTTAAAATGTAATAACTAACTTTAACATATCTGTTTTTTTTTTTTTATTGTAGAGATGACCTTTTATTAGAGGCCTAGCCTCTAAAAAAAAGTTGTCTTTGCAATGGAAGACTTATTCCTGGTGATTGGACATGGCAAAAGTGTAGACACTTTAGTCTTTCTACATATTTTATTAAAATATTTTGTTTTTTCTACTGTTTTAAAAAGTATGCATTCAAGTTGTTATAAAAGTTTAAAAATGAAAATATTTAAAGTATTACTGATATGATCTGCAATATATTAGGAACTACCATATTTATTGATTAGGGATAATCATTTGACTTGTTTTACAAAGCATTTTACAAGTATAGCAATATTTTTGATAATGATGTGAATAATGCATGACAAAAAATTCATACTGAAAAGTTAAAAAATAATAATATCAATTTGCATATTATGAATTCTGTTATAGATTATTATATGTTTAGTATAATAAAACAGATTTAAGTTGAAGGAAATTTATCCTTCAAGTTTCTTCATTTTTAATATATTTAAAATTGTTTAATTTCAAAATTATGCACAATTTACTTAGAACTTATTAATAATGTTGATGATATATGTGTATATATATATAGACTATAATAAAACTTTTATCATCACTATTTTACGTCAATTTCATAAAAAGATAATATAAAAGTTGCTATTTAATTATATATTATTATAGTGCAATTTATAAGATATTATTTTACTTATATTGATATCAAATTATGATTTCAAAAATTAAAAAAACTTTTTTTCTATACAGGAACACTTAAGCTTGGAGATATACAGCAAAGTCCTTCAAGAGACAAGCTGCCACAGGTACAAGTTTCCTGAGTACGTTATAATTTTTTCCTCTAAGTCTGTCATCAAAATCTGAAGAACTGCTGTTTTAAATCTTATAATAAAGTTTTTGAACAAGTTTTATTTAATTTAATATTGCCAAGGAGGAAAGAAATTTTAATTGAATATAATTAACTACTATAAATTTAAAAAATATGATGAAATAATTAATTCAAATAATAATTTAGATTTTATTTTCATTTTCAGAATCAAAAGGAAAAGATAGACACAGAAAATAAACGGAATGAAATAAAATCTCATAAATTAATATGGAACTGTTCCAAATCGTCGGAAGGAAAGTGCAAGCATAGTCGTTTCTGCAACATGCTATGATTGTTTTACACCATTGAATCCACTATTTATAAAAGATGTGAACTATTTTTTAACCTTCTCATAAAATTATACAAAGAAGAAATTTCATTTTTAAGAGGATTGCATCTTCATCATTTCTTTGAAAGTTTGCCTTGGTGATACCTTGTGAATATATTTTAAAAATTCTACTTATTAGAAGCATTGTTTTGTATGTTGTTGATGAACATTAACAACAATGTTTAAAATTTATTATTTATTGAATATGAAGAAGCAAGGATTATCAACTTCATTCAAAAAAATGCTCTTTGGATAAATTTGAACTTGAAAGAAAGAAAGAAAAAAAAAGTAGAAATTGTTTAAATACTTATCATCATATCTGAGAAAATAATCACTCAGGAATCTGACATTCCACAATACAGGAAATATTTTTATATTTATAAGAAATTTTTAGTCAGTTTAAACAATTCTCATAAGTGATAAGAAAAGAACAGAATAAAATTGAATTTACAATAGAAGTAAAATATAAAAAAAAGTTTATTTCTATTGTAAAATACAGTTTTGAGTGTATTTGGCAAGAATAATGTATTTGAAACAATTCAATTTTTCTATTTAGTCATAATTAGTGTTCTTCAAATTTAAGTTCAATAACTTAAAAGCATTTGATATACCTTAGGGCTTTCATAACACCAAGACAATACTTTAATCATCTGTACAAATCATTAATTATTCTCTAACTTCCTACATAAATTTTAGTTACAATGTAAATATTGTGTCTGTAAATATTGTATTATGCTAAACATTGTTTAAATAATTATGTTATGTGAACTTATTGTATAGTAAGTTGTTTATATTAATTTGATTATTATTTATAATTTTGCTATAACTCATTTTTTTTAAATAAATGCTTAATGTAAGAAGTGCTATGAATAAATTTGTCCCTATTTTAATTGTTTTTTTCGATTAGAAATTTATTAACATGAAAATTTCTTTAATACATTTTATATACAGTTTTAATATAGATATTTAAGATTTCACAAAAATATTTGTCATTTATAAAGATCAACAAGATAATTCAGAAAAATTTCAGATATGTTATTTATTTAAAAACTTGTCTATTATCAAATTGAAAAATATATATATATTACAGTAAAGTACATAATAATACACCATACATTAACATAAATTCAGATATAGTGTGATCAACAATTGCTCTAGTTCTCAGTTGAGTGTGCTGTCCACTGTTTACAGTACACTATCATTAAGATTTACTATCTTTATTTTTGTGTTGTTTGTTACATAAGTATTTTTGCTTGACCAAAGATATATTTCAGATTTAATGCTATATTAAGAAATTTTATGTTAATTTTTTTAAAGAAAATCTTAATACAGTCATAATTATAGATAAATCAACTTGCAAATGGAATCTTTTACTGTCAAAAAAATTATCTGTTCTGACTCAATAAAGATTGGAGAATAGCAAACTTAATTGTTCAGAGATCTCAGTAAGTCTGCTCTGAGAAGATAGAAAAGAGCAGCAAAGTTGCATAGTATTCCTTGCATTTTATAAGGGGGGTACCAGCCTATAAGTAGTCTGCTAATGACAGAAACTTAGATTCAGCTTTTTCATTAATATTGCAATAATATAAGTCCACACTTTAAATAATTGAAAATTTTAAACCCCAATTATTCCTTTATGGTGGGATTTAACTGTAGTTAGCACATATTACATCTATATTTTTTCAAAAACAAAAGCTTCAGTTTGATTCATTTTGATCATAAAAAGGAAATAATATTTTGATGTTAGAAATTTTCTTCACAATAATAAATACTAATTTTTTAAATAAGAATAAATAAATATTTGAATATTCTGCCATAAATATTTCTGATAATCAATATTTTTTGTAACTACCATAATATATGTTTATAAAAATTTATAAAAGTTGAAAATGGATATAACCAACTTTAATATTGATTTCCAAATGTTGATTATCTAAATTGGAATTTGAATAATAAAACTATTAGTGAAATTTAATTATAACTATTGATGAGTTACTGATATCTAATATTTTTAAATATTGTAACTATTGCCAACTATATCTATTAAATATTTGGACTTTTATAATTAATCTTTCTCATTATTATTATTGGATGATATTTTTTTGTTATTTTATTCTTAAATTTAGAGAAAATTCATATTTTGTGATTTTTCTCTAAGTTCAAGAATTACTGAATACATAAACAACAGTCAAAATATAATGCCAGATTCATTAGGCCATAAGTTGGCTAATTATAGTAATTATATAAAGTAATTTGAATTCTAGATAGATAATTAAGTTGTCATCTTGTATTAAATTTAATAATTAGAATTAAACCTTTAATTAAGTTATAATTTTGGGCTCAGTTTACCATATAAACATAAACAATAGTTTATGAAATTAAAACATTGGATTTTCTTGAATTATATTTTGGCTAATTAATAATTAACACTATCAAGTAATTTGATATACAGTAGGAAGTTAGGTTATCATCTTGCATTAATTAATAATCAAATAATTTTAGAATTAAATTTAATTCAACATATTAATGATTTGATTAGTAATATGTTTGGACTTTATTATAGTTTACATATTGAGTTCAGTGAATCTTTTCCATTTAGTTTTCCTTAATAAAAGAAAAATAATAAACATATTTTTGCCTTACAAGAGACACTATTATATTAGATGCATGATATTTTTCACATAGATGTTTTGGGGAAAAACTATTCTTTACAGTATAAGATGCATTCAACTTATAGGACACATCCTAATTTTCAGATTAATTTTTGATACAAAAAAAGCGTACTTTACAAGATGAAAAATACAGTATATTCCCCAGTAAAAGTTATGTCAATTAGAAATTCTTACATACAAAAATATAGTAAAAATAAATGCACTTTATTATTATTAGGTCTAAAATAATCCCTCGAAGACAAAGTGAATTATACGAATATATAATAATATGTACTGTATCTGCTTTAATACTAATTAGAATTTTATTTGTAAATCATTACCTGTTAATTATTTCTTCAAAGCAATAAATAAACATAAGGAATTACATTTTTTTACTAATATTAATATATAAAATATTGCAATAATTTCAATATCTAATACTATTTATTTTAGCTTACAGAATATACTTTTTCATCTAAATTGCAGATAATAAATATTTTTGTATGCAAGATGTTATGGCATTTTTCAATAATGTCCATTTTTATATTCAAGTACTATGCAATATTAAAAATCATGCAAAAACTTTTTATTTTAATAGGTTTAAGGAATCATAAGGAACATAAATCAATTTTAATTCTTCATTGGGTATTTACATAATTTTGCCTATATCCAAAATTTAAGCTGATTATATATATATTTAAAAAGTTTCTGAAGATGCGATAAATTATTTTTGTGTTGTTGTGAATAAATATTTTTAATATTTATAAAATACCTTTGTTAACAATTCTATACCTAGTTTTAACAAACTTCAGTAATTGACACAGGAGCATTTACAAATAAATAATTAACATAGCTAATCTGTTATGATTATTTCAAAGTTACATTATTTTTAAGACATTATATTCAAGTACATTATGTTAAGACATAATAATAATTAAACTGTAGAGAAAAACAAACATATTTTAATCTGAATATGCATCAGTGAGGATAAAGACAGAATTTTTGTAAGAAAGACATAATTATTTTCCTTAGTTATATTGGAAATGATTTACTTAATCAAATTACTTAATCAATTGAACTCAAATGTAAATGTTTATATGTTTATTATTTTCTCTTAAGATTTTCAAAAAATAAATGCATTATCTATTCATGATAGTGAAAATCAGTTACATTACAAAAACTAAATTGGACATATTTGGTAAAAAATTAAAAAGATCAAATTTTATAACAAGTCAATAATTCATATACTACTATTTCAAATTATTTACAATATTTGAGAGTATTGTCCTTAATTAATGATCATCATTCAAAAAATAAAGCTAAAACATGCAATATTACTTTTAAACTTATGAATCATTATACGCAAATTAAATTTTAGTAAAAATGCATCTAAAACTCACATTAAAAAACTGATGCTGAATGACAACTGTACAAGCTTGAGTCAAAACTAATCTTATGTAAATGAGAAAAATGAGAATGTTGAAGAATTTCATAAATCATGTATCAGAGTTATAGCTCATTTCAAAAAAGCTAAAAAAAGTATTCAAAAGCTCAAAATAATGATATAGTTATGAAATAAAATATAGGATGTTCAAATGAATTAACCATTATTTATAAAAACTAACATATATATAAATCAGTATAACAATGAATTTTACAGAATTATATCATTATTAGTAATATCAGCTTTTACAAGCTGATATTATCAGTAATTATTATAAGTAGCATCATTAGTAGTAGTAAAAGGATATGTGCTTTTTAAGTGAAAACCTCTTTGAAATAAAATATACAACAAAACAATTATTGGTCTGTCTTAATGGTCATTAACATTTTAAACTAAGTGAAATGCATTAAATAATTTCAACTTTTCACTATGTTACTAGTTGTAAGTTTAAAGAGTTTTATTATTTATTGTCGGTTTTGTAAAATTTGTATTATATTTATGTGTATATTCTGTTTTTTCTGTAATAATCCATTAATTACAGTATTATTGTAGTTTTACTGTTTTTGTAATGATTATCTGTATATGTTTGTATTCCTTGCATCATGGGTGAAACCAGTATACTTAAATAAATAAAAAATAATTAAATAAATAAGTTTAAAGAGTTCTTATATGAAAAATAATATATTGTTCTACCATTTCATTTATAATCAATCAAGTGATTAGTTAAAATCAAGAAATAAAATTTAAATCGGATGGCTATTAGTATCTATATATCAATTAAAAGATAATCATTTTGTATAAAAAGTTCATAAACAAGAGATTACTAAAATATTCTACAGTTTATTTCTAATGAAAATGAGTACCCATATATCAACTCAAATTTAAGAAAATACCTTACAGTAAACTTGAAAAACTTGTAAATGAAGTTGGCTATGTCAACTTCACTATGTTTTGAGTTCAAGTTCAAAGAAAATTCATCAATTAAATAGCATATAACATCTATTTATTATGTTACTTTACCATTTTTTCAATTATTTTCAGACGAGTTAATTTTTTTTTAACTTTTTATAGCAATACATGCAATTATTATATTACAAAAAGGTTGGATTTTTCAGATTATCATCATTGTGTATATTACAAATAACTACTGTTATTATTTAATCAAAATAACACACTAAAACAATTTCTTGTAAGCTCATGTTTTATATGTATAATTCAGTAATATAAAGTTATCATACATAATGCATAAGACTGATAATCTATTTTTACATTACTTTAAACATATCTAACTTGAAGCTTTTTTACAAAATTTAATAATTTAATAATTTTACACAGAAGTTGTAACAAATTCCACAAACTTTTTTTCTGTTTTAATTTTTAGAAAATATTTTGATCCTTCTTTGTAAAAAAAAATTACTGTATTTAAAATTATATATATGTGATATAATCTATGGAAAGGTAACTTAAGTTAAAAAAGTAAATTTTTCTGTAGAGCAAAAAACAATCTAAACATTGTTGAAATAGTACAACTATCTTAACTCTCAAATTTAACAAATACATCTCATTAACCATTCATACACATTCAAAATAATATTTCATTTTAATTTTTCTTCATTTTAATTGATTTTTTAACTATCATGCTTAATGCTGGAGAGAAAGTAATCATGTATGTAAATATATATAACATCAATAGCTTGAACAACACCTTAATTACTCCAAATTAATTATTTAAAATGATGGAGTCAGATTATTTATCAAATTCTTATGTAATTGTATTGTAG